GAGGAAATCTGCTCTCAGGCAGTTGTCACCAGAACAAGTGTCCATTTTGGAGGATTTCTGGGCACTTCCTGTTTTGGTGACAACTCAGTTTTGATTTCATATCACTTCCTGAGCCAATGGTCACCAGAGGGGCAATCTCTATTGGCGGATAAATAATCGATGACCACATATGGCAGACTGGGACCGGCGGCACTGCGAGGGACCGGGGAGGTAAAGAGACATTTTGGGGTCATTCTCTCCTGTTCCTGTACACTGTATTGTGTAATAAAGTGACCCTGTCATTGAGGGAACCTGACCGTACCGGGAGTCTTTATGTCCTGGGTCCCTCCCTGTAGTTCTTAATGGTTCCTCCCTCTGAGGTAATGTCACTGTAGGCTATAGCAGTGATGTGAGCTCAGCGGGAGCAACCATTAAAATCTGAGGATGGGGGGGACATCGTCACTTCTGGTGCTGTCAGTTTCCGAGCTGACTTGTTATGGTCCCGGGAAGGAGCCGGAGAGCCCGGGAACCACAGCAGGGGGGAGGGGTGGCACATTCTCGGGCCCATAAAAGTGATCGGGCGGCTCCACAGCAACTCGGATCAGTTTTACACAATGCAGGGGGTGCCATAGACTGAAAATCAGCGTTACTTCCCCTTTAAAACATAACCTGGCCTGTCACTTAGCTCATCCCTAACTCCGGATGGAGTGAGGCGCATTACGACAAGCAAACGTGAGACAGCGGCAACTTTTCTTAAAAAGGTGCGTCTTCTATCGCCAGCACTGCGAAACCTACCAGTTACCATCTCACTGAGAGTGAGGGGCCACATTGCTCCCCCTGCTGTGACGTCAGCCTCCCTTCCCGACTGCGCCGCTCACTGCTGCTCTCTCTCCTCGTGCAGGCTGACTGGTATCGTCTCCGCCCCTTCCTGTAATAAAGACCGCTCACTGCTGCTCTCTCTCCTTGTGCCGGGTGACTGGTCTTGTCTCCGCCCCCTCCTGTAATAAAGACCGCTCACTGCTGCTCTCTCTCCTTGTGCAGGGTGACTGGTCTTGTCTCCGCCCCTCCTGTAATAAAGACCTGAATTTGTAGTTTCACCACGGCCGGAGGGCCGGAGTTTCAGGGAATACTGCTTGAACAGTAAAAACCCCCCAACGTCACTCATCCCCAAGTACAGATTGTGTTTCCTACCGTCCAGGAGCAGCGCAATGTTTGTTTCTGTGCTGATTGGATGGCTATTGGGTCATCGGTCCCCCCTCTTGATGCAGATCTACCTGCTGCGGCTTGCCTTGGCCCTTGTGCCTTGATCGGCCCCTGTGTATGTGTAGGGATCGACTCCTGGAGGTGAGCCCTGTTGTCCTCCTCCCCTTCTGAAGGGTTTTGAGAGGGGCGTGAGGTTTGTTCTGCGGTGGCCGAGGTGTCGGTGATTCCCGGTGCTTACAGCATAACGGGCAGAGCAGCCTTACACCCCATTCACACTGAGCGACGTGGATATTGCACGGTTTTCCGTGCGATATCGCGCTAAGCGGCTTTGAGCTAAACTTTACCGCGCAACGTAGCACGCTTTTTGGGCGGGGCTTCGTCTCCGCTACATTGGGCTCTAGCCAATCAACAGCGATCTTGATGTAACATCATTCTTTCCTTCCTTTTTTTGCAGTGCAAATGTAGCGCGATATCGCCGGTGATGCGCGAGTCTATTGGAGCCGAATCTCGCGTCATCCGCGCAAAAAAAGGGTCAGGTACAGGCGGCGTTGAGCTGTGAGATGTGAACAGCTCCATAGAGCGATATCGCGCGGAAATATGCGCGTTTTCGCAGGAAAAATCGTGTGCTGAACCGCTGAGTGTGAATGGGGGTGTTAGGAGCTGGCGTGTGGCCCTGGGATCGGTTTGGGATCGCACAATGCCACCCGGGCTAGGACACCGAGGCCAGACAATACGGAGGGATCACCGATAGATTGGAGCGGTGTAGGACCGAGCGGCGCTGACTATGCCAAGTAAAGGTCCGCTGTGGGTGGGTCCTCCCCTGCAGGTCTGTAGTAGGATATACAGGAGCTCCTTTAGGCCCCATTCACATGTAGCGACATACCTTTTGCAGCGGCCGGGATAGCGCGACTTTCGGGGCGACGTTCCAGCGACGGTAGCGCGACCTTCTCCGTCGGGCTCCATAGAAAAAAGCAAAATCCGCCGAAAAAAGGGTCCCGTAGAAGCGACCGCGACGAGCGACATGGAGCTAAGACAGCTCCATTGACTATCAGTAGCCGGCGACTTCTCGCGATATCGCGCGGCAAAAATGCGCGATATCGCGTCGGAAATCGCACGATAAGTGGCTACATGTGAATGGGGCCTTAAGGTGTAACTCCGCTTTAGCTGGAGAAACAACCCCCTCTGGGGGATCAGCGTGCATTGTGGGGATTTTATCAGACTTTGTTGCAGATTCCGACCTTTTTTTTTTTTTCTGTTCTGTTCCTTCCACCCGTGTCCTTCCCAAGCTGATTCCTGAATGAGAAGGTTCAATGACCCCATCTGGTGGACTTTCTGTGTTCTAATGAGGAAAGTTGCAGTGTTTGCATCCCTTCAGCAGTAGTTAAAGGAGAACTATGAGGCGAGTGAAAATCCCTCCTCCTCATAGTTGGAGCCGACGTGTGACAATGAGACTCACACGTCGGCTCAGTAGATCGGGAAGTGAGCGAACACATACCGTCGCTCGCTCACTTCTCGATCCTGTCCCTGCATAGAGCCGTGACTGTCACTCACGGCTCCCTGCTAAGATTCCGATCCTCCAGCGTGGACTGGCGGCAGGGGCGGGTACAGTTGGCTCCGCCTCTAGATAGGCAGAGCCAGTTGTCACACATCGACTCAATAGATCGGGAAGTGAGTGAACACATACCGTCGCTCGCTCACTTCTCGATCCTGTCCCTGCATAGAGCCGTGACTGTCACTCACGGCTCCCTGCTAAGATTCCGATCCTCCAGCGTGGACTGGCGGCAGGGGCGGGTACAGTTGGCTCCGCCTCTAGATAGGCAGAGCCAGTTGTCACACATCGACTCAATAGATCGGGAAGTGAGTGAACACATACCGTCGCTCGCTCACTTCTCGATCCTGTCCCTGCATAGAGCCGTGACTGTCACTCACGGCTCCCTGCTAAGATTCCGATCCTCCAGCGTGGACTGGCGGCAGGGGCGGGTACAGTTGGCTCCGCCTCTAGATAGGCAGAGCCAGTTGTCACACATCGACTCAATAGATCGGGAAGTGAGTGAACACATACCGTCGCTCGCTCACTTCTCGATCCTGTCCCTGCATAGAGCCGTGACTGTCACTCACGGCTCCCTGCTAAGATTCCGATCCTCCAGCGTGGACTGGCGGCAGGGGCGGGGACAGTTGGCTCCGCCTCTAGATAGGCAGAGCCAGTTGTCACACATCGACTCAATAGATCGGGAAGTGAGTGAACACATACCGTCGCTCGCTCACTTCTCGATCCTGTCCCTGCATAAAGCCGTGACTGTCACTCACGGCTCCCTGCTAAGATTCCGATCCTCCAGCGTGGACTGGCGGCAGGGGCGGGGACAGTTGGCTCCGCCTCTAGATAGGCAGAGCCAGTTGTCACACATCGACTCAATAGATCGGGAAGTGAGTGAACACATACCGTCGCTCGCTCACTTCTCGATCCTGTCCCTGCATAAAGCCGTGACTGTCACTCACGGCTCCCTGCTAAGATTCCGATCCTCCAGCGTGGACTGGCGGCAGGGGCGGGTACAGTTGGCTCCGCCTCTAGATAGGCAGAGCCAGTTGTCACACATCGACTCAATAGATCGGGAAGTGAGTGAACACATACCGTCGCTCGCTCACTTCTCGATCCTGTCCCTGCATAAAGCCGTGACTGTCACTCACGGCTCCCTGCTAAGATTCCGATCCTCCAGCGTGGACTGGCGGCAGGGGCGGGTACAGTTGGCTCCGCCTCTAGATAGGCAGAGCCAGTTGTCACACATCGACTCAATAGATCGGGAAGTGAGTGAACACATACCGTCGCTCGCTCACTTCTCGATCCTGTCCCTGCATAGAGCCGTGACTGTCACTCACCGCTCCCTGCTGGGATTTCTCCCTCCGATCCTCCAGCGCTGACTGGCGGAACGGATGGGGGAAGGGGCGGGTACAGCCTCTAGATAGGCTGTCAATCACGCAGCTGGGTGGATCTAGACAGTAATGTCCCAACTGCGGCGTCTCAGTATATAGAGAGCTGTAGCTCGCTATATACTGAGCTTTGGGTGACGGGAGGACGCTAGTTTGTGTTAATTCAATAAAATAATAAAAAGTGCTAAAAAAAGTTTTAAAAAATTAAAGAAACAGTAGAAAAAAAATTGAAACTGACCCCGCCGCCCTGCTATCTGGTTGCCATTCTCCATTGATGGGGGGGGATTGCGGAACCTGGCCCTGGGGCGGCAGGGAGAGTAAATCCGGCCCCGAGTCTATCCCGGGGGGGGGAGCTTGACGCAATTTTCCGACTTTACTGGAAGGCATTTTATTTTTTGTAGAATTTTTGGATCCGCGGTGCGTAATACAACAATTTGTAGATTATCGGAGATCGTTGGGCGTCCCCGGGGGGTCCGGGTTCCTGGACTCGGGCTGAGTTCTCCTCCGCTGTTAGAAAACCGAATCTTGATGGAGTTTTTATTCCTTTGTCGATTTGCAGACGGAGAAGGTCACCTCCCTCGGCTCTTCAATAATGCAAGACGCGAGGATGCGATGAGGGGGAAAAGGGCTGAAATGGAAAATAAGTGCGCGCTGTATGCCAGGAATTGTTAACCCTTTGTGGGAATAAATGACTGTATAATGTTTTTCTGTTGCTAAGGATGTGGGAGGGGCTTAATAGCGCCCTGGTAAGCGTCTGGGTACAAAAATAAACCTAAAATCTTTATGGCTTGAGAAAAAAAAAAAAATAGTTGATAGCTGTTAGAGTGCTGGCTCTTTCCTATTGGTCCATCTTTCTGGTGGGCTCCATTACTGACCAATCAGAATTGATGGGAGGTGGGTGAGCTCTCACTGCCAGTTCAGAACAGCGCAGCATTCGGGGCCTCTAGGTGCCTTCACATGTGATCGAAGATGCCGTAATAACCCCAAGCTGAAGCAGATATTGTCCTCATACAAGAGTCCTGTGTATTCTTTTTGTAGCCTGGTGAGCTTTGTGTATTTCTTCAAGATCTTGTCATGAGGACTGTTCACTGCTGCTTCATCTCCTTGTGCACGGTGACTGGTCTTGTCTCCGCCCCTTCCTGTAATAAAGACCGGTCAATGCTTCCATCTCCTTGTGCAGGGTGACTGGTCTTGTCTCCGCCCCCTCCTGTAATAAAGACCGCTCACTGCTGCTCCCTCTCCTTGTGCAAGGTGACTGGTCTTGTCTCCGCCCCCTCCTGTAATATCGACCGCTCACTGCTCTCTCTCCTTGTGCAGGGTGACTGGTCTTGTCTCCGCCCTCTCCTGTAATAAAGACCGCTCACTGCTGCTCTCTCTCCTTGTGCAGGGTGATTGGTCTTGTCTCCGCCCGCTCCTGTAATAAAGACCGGTCACAGCTGCTCGCTCTCCTTGTGCAGGGTGACTGGTCTTGTCTCCGCCCGCTCCTGTAATAAAGACCGCTCACTGCTGCTCTCTCTCCTTGTGCAGGGTGACTGGTCTTGTCTCCGCCCCCTCCTGTAATAAAAACCCCTCACAGCTGCTCTCTCTGTTTGTGTAGGGTGACTGGTCTTGTCTCCGCCCCCTCCTGTAAAAAAAAAGACCGGTCACTGGTGCTTTTTCTCCTTGTGCAGGGTGACTGGTCTTGTCTCTGCCCCCTCCTGTAATAAAGACCGCTCACTGCTGCTCTCTCTCCTTGTGCAGGGTGACTGGTCTTGTCTCCGCCCCTTCCTGTAATAAAGTGGGTATTGAAGAATATATGTGTAATGAGCCCCTTGCTCGCTCGGTTCCACTCTCCCGGCACTCCTCTGCTACTATTGGATCAGATGTCAGACCGCAACGTCTGATCCTTCGATCGTCCGATAATCCGGGATTCGAACTACAGCTATGTGCCGTTCGAATCCAGCTCAGAACAAACACCAGGCAGGCTGTATGTAAGTTCCAACAGGGATCTGCTTTATTGAAGACTAGCTCAGTATATATACAGTCCAAGAAGTCTAAACACATAACGCAATCAAACATGAACAGCATGCAAACATCCACTCCCCCTCCCCGATGCCTTAATGAATGAATAGGGAGGGAGGAGACACATGTGATGGGATTATCTCCTGAGTGTATCATAGTGTGATTTACTCATCTACACCTGGAGTCAGCTACTCCTAGAATCAGCCATCCTAATCCCATCATTAACACAATACAACAAAAGGACCAATAAACTGTAACAGTTCAATGTCCAGAATTATCCCCCTTCAGTGCTCCTGGAGTCACAGCCTGTACCTATAATACACACAGGGCCATCCAAATGTAATGCCAGGGAACATGTACAGTACATCCCCCCATACATAAACCTGGTAGAATGGTTCATTGTAACCCCAAGAAGTCCGAGGGGGGTCTCCATAGTTCTGGGTCCATAGTCAGTTGGAAGGAGGCTAGCCCCCAGGCTCCTCCAACAGCACCAGTGACGGTTCAGTCCGTCACAATATGTAAATCTTGTCACATCTCTGCCCTGATGAAGGGACCCTGCGTGGTCCCGAAACGTTGGATTGTGTGACATGTGTGACGTTTAGTCCAAATAAATTCATTTTTTTTAAATTTCATCTACGAAGTGCTGGTGATTTCTATCGTTCATTGACTGTTGTGCACGGCGCCATCCGTGATTGTCACTGCGAGCGCAACTATTGGGCCGGAAGCGCTGTAAGGAGCGCAGGCGGACCCACTGTTTTCTGAATATATGTAAATGACATTTTTTTTGTTGCCGAAGTTCAGCTTAAAGATAACGAAAGCCTCGCTGTGTGACTCGGGTCCTTTTACTGACCTTTTTGATTATTTGTGTTCCAGGTAGCGAAAGAATTTGGTTTTAGGAATAATGGATTCTCGGTGTACCTGAACAGGAACCGGACAGACGAAATATCATCTAGCCCGAGCAAGTCGCTTCACCTCCTGAAAATCAAGTAAGACGATAAAATCCGATGGTCTGCAAAGAATGTGCCAAGCATGTGATGACGTTCAGGGCAAAGAAATAGCGGCTCTTGCTAAGCCACCCCCTGAGGAGGGAGGCCGGCATAGGTCAGGGGTAGGCAACCTCGGCACTCCAGCTGTGGTAGAATGGCAAGTCCCATGATGCATTGTAAGACTCTGAGGCTGGGTTCACACCTGGGCGTACTATGGGCGCGTTTTTTTTAGCACGTTTTTTTTCGTTCAGTGAAACGCGTGTTTTTATACCTCCCTGGCGGTATGATTTTCTTTTTTCCTTTTATTTTCTCTCTTTGTTTTTGTTTTTTTTTTTACTTTCAAACTTCCCACTAGTACCGCCCTCCCTGGGACGTGAACTCTCGCAAGGGACGGAAGACGGCAGCGGCCGGAGGACACAGCGGGGATCCTGGAAATGGTAAGATCTACGCTGTATTCCCGAGTGTGGCTCGGGGGTTACCGCTTTGTTAACCCCCGAGCCA